ATTATTCCAAATGTTTCTGTGAAAGATATTTTGGGTGAGACTTGTGTTTAAATCATCAGACTTTGAGTTAGCAGATTGCCCTCCACATGTGGGTGGCCCTCATCTAATTAGTTGAAGGGCTGAAAAGAACAGAAACTGACCTCCCTGTAGGAAGAAGAAATTGTGCCAGTATATGACATTTGAACTTGAACTGCAATATCAGTTTTTCCCTGGGACTCCAGCCTCCCAGCTTGCTCTGCAAAATTTAGGAATTTCCAGCCTCAACAAGCATGAGCCAATTCCTTCAAATAAATCTCTCTTCTCTATAGACATCGTGTGTGTGTGTGTGTGTGTGTGTGTGTGTGTGTGTGTGTGTGTGTGTGTCCTATTGGTTATGTTTCTCTGGAAACCCCTGACTTATACAGTAGCTTAATCCTGTCCCTTGACCTGCTAAGTGAAATTGGCCCTCCCATACACCATTCATCAGGGCACCAGCCAAATGAAATAGCATTTCAATCACACAAGAAACTGGAGCAGAGAATAAGAACCCAAGAGAGAAGCCCGTTTGTACAGAGTGGGTGGATGTAGTGGGATTAGTAGAAGATTCACCTCACCAAACATGCAGGTGTCTAGGACTCATTCCAGGTACCCTATAAACCAAGTCTTCTCCAGTTCCCCTGGGCTCATGCTCTACAATGCTGTTGTACTATGATCTAATATCAGAACAGGATCAGGAATCTACAAAAATTTAAAATGAAGACTAGCTGGGGAAGGCAAGGGCAGACACTCCCAGTGCTATGGACACTCCCATAACATTGGCTTAGTCATTTATTTGACAAATGTTTATTTGTTCAGCTTGAACAAAATTCTGAATGCAATGATTCTAGACTGTTCCTGGAGTGAGTTTTCCATCATGTTAAATTTCCAAAATTTAAGTGGGCAAGAGACTCATGATAGAATTGGCATGGTAGATGTAATCCAAATATAACATGGGGAAAAGAAAGAGAAGTTGAGCTCAGAATTACACCACACCTGCAGGTGATTTTAGAATTTAACCGCATCTAGGATGCAGATGGAAAACATATGGGTAAACCTTGCTGCTGCTGAAAGGCTGAAGGTGCTTGGGTATAAAACGAACCCCTGATCCAGGACTACACTGGCAGTCATTGTGTTGTTGTGCCTGTAACTTGCCAGAACATCTGCTCAAAGCAATCATTCCAGGCTATTCTGCCATGCAGGCCTGTAGCTGATCCATTCAACTGATATTTGGTCATTTTTTTATGATACCCCTGCCTTACATGCAGAATCTGCCACGGTTTCAGTGACATTAAATCCAGATACAGACAGTACCAGGAGTGAGTTCTATGATTCAAAGTTGTATGCTAAAGGAATAAAGAAATTTAAGAAGAAGCTATTTTATCAAAATTATGAAAGTTTGACTTTAAAATAATCAAAAATTTATAAAATAGCAGAAGGTGATATCATATGAACTTTAGCTTTAAATAGATTATGTATTTATCCTCAGAAGATTTTGTCTCACAAATATAATCAACCTGTTGGTTGATTTCATTCTTTCAAACCATTTAGTGTTCTGAAACCAATATAGGACATGTCTCCGTGTCTACAATTATCCTCTAGTTTACCTTGCTAATAATTTTCTTCAGTTGAAAGTTATTGAATTGATTTGACCAGCTGCTTATTATCATCTGGAAAATAACTTCTGGTAAATCTGGAAGATGACTTCTGCTTCCAAGTTTTACAACAGCCTACATAATCAGCCTGTAGTTACTTATCTAATCTTCCTTCTTATGTTCCTCTCATTCTAGTCACCTGATATTTTTTCCTTAAACACATCAGGCTGACTCCCACTTTAGTGCATTTGTATTGTGGTTCTCTTAGCCTGGAAGAGTTTTCCTGCAGATGTCTACTTATCTAACTCCTTTACCAACTCCATGTCTTTGTTCTAATCTCACTTTCTCAATGAAGTCTATACTCACCATCATAGTTACAGTGTGAAGTGTCCCCCACATTCCTCTCCAGCACCCTTGCACAGACGAGGCGCCCTCACTCACCCTAACCTGCACTCCCTTTCCTCTTTTTCCACATCATTTATTACCTTCTAACATACTATATCATTGATTGATTGTAATTACTATTTACTCTATCACCTCTAGAATGAAATCTCCATGAATGTATTATTGTGTCATGGCTTCTATAACAAATTATTTCTTTTTTTCAATTGAATCGCTTCTGAATGACTAGACTGAAATATGACCCCTTCTATTTCCATTTTTTAAACTCAGCTTTATTTTTTGTGTATATGCTGTAATATCTGAGAAGTACTTCTTCACAGGATATATATGTAGACATAACTCAGAGACATTGAGGGTTTAGTTCCAGACCACAGCAATAAAGTGAATATCCCAGTAAAGGAAGACACACACAGTTTTTGGTTTCCCAGTGCATATAAAGGTAATGTTTAAGCTGGGTATGGTGGCTCGAATTTGTAATCCCAGCTACTTGAGAGACTGAGGCCAGGCGGTCAAGACCAAGCTGAGTAACATAGCACGACCCTATTTCAAAAGAAAAGAAAAGAAATTATCCAGGTGTGGTAGTATATGTCTGAAGTCCCAGCTGCGTGGGAGGCTTAGGCAGAAGGATCACTTGAGCCCAAGAGTTCCAGGCTACAGTGTGCTATGACTGCCCCATCAAGCCTTCAGTGAGTTGCAGTCTTTTTGCTGGTAGAGAGTCTTGCCTTGATGTTGATGGCTGCCAACTCATCAGGGTGGTGGTTGCTGAAGGTAGGAGTAGCTGTGGCAAGTTCTTAAAATAGGACAACAATGAAGTTTTCCACATGAACTGACTCTTCACAAAAGATTTCTCTATTGCATGGAATGCTATTTGATAGCATTTTACCCACAGTAGAACTTTCAAAATTAGAACCAGTTCTTTCAAACCTGACCATTGCTTTATCAACCAGGTTTATGGCATCTTCTAAACCCTTTGCTGTCGTTTCAAGAATGCTCACAGCATTTCCGCCAGGAGCAGATTTCATTTCAAGAAACCTCTTTCTTTGCCCATCCATATGCAGCAATTCCTCATTTGTTCAGGTTCTATCATGAGATTGCAGCAATTCAGTAACATCATCAGGCACCTCCCTTCTCTCTCTTGATTCCTCTCTCACCATGTGATCTCTGCACATGCCAGCTCCCCTTTACCTTCCACCATGAGTGCAAGCAGCCTGAAATCCTCACCAGATACATGAACACAATTTTGAGCTTTCCAGCCATTAGAATCATGGACCAAATTAACCTTTTTCCCCTCATAAATTACCCAACCTCCAATATTCCTTTATATCAACACAAGGGATAACACATAAAAACATGTTTATATGCAACAGAGAAAACTCTCATTGCTTGAAAAAGTTGACTTGATGTTCAAAATCAGGTATTTATAATTGGAGACTGAAATGTTTATTAATCCATCAAAAATGCTCTTATCACTTCCTATTTACTGTACCAAGTGGTAAGATAACACTAAGTCCAGGATAAGACTTGTCTTTGTCCTCAACTAACTGAGCCCACTTGTCTACTGCATTGATCAAATGATAAACCAAACCATTAATACTTGGTGCAATCTAAATAGTAATTGCTACTATTTCTATATGGAACCATGGAAAAAGATATTTGAAAGCTATTATAAAATTATTTAAAATATTCATATCTGCTTCATTTTCCAGGCATTTTAAAGCAGTGAAAGGTTAATATTACAACACTTGCTTATGCATTTTTCTCTTTATTTGTCTGATTACTTCAAAATTCTATATTTTATCAGGTTATATACCAAAACCTTACAGAGCATGTTGTTATAGAATATTCTGTACTACTACATTGTTCAAACAGCAATGATTCTTAGGTCTTCATATTTCAATTTGGACTTCAAGAGGTGTACAATTAAGTGTTTTATTTCCATTCCTCTGTTCTTCAGAACTTCCTTAAGCATTAGGCCGTTCCAATGATAATACACTATAATATGTCCTTTCTTCTACATCAACCAACATCGTAAAATTTCTTTATTAAATAAATCTGTTAATTTGTACACTCTTACTTGCACTGCTCTAATGTTTGTCCAAACTTTTTAATTTCATCACAGAATTTTTCCATGAGTCAGCTTTAGCCAAATTCCTAAGGTTCATGCTTGGAATTTATATTGTGTGGCTTTCCAAAATCTCCATGAATGGTTTACCACTAGGCTAAAAAGCTAGAAAATCATCTAGGAATTTACATATACCTACAAGTATTTTTTTTTCCCATTTATTTATTTTATTGTATTTTAGGTTTGGGGGTACATGTGAAGAACATGCAAAATTGTTGCATAGGAACACACATGGCAGTGTGATTTGCTGCCTTCCTCCCCATCACCTACATGTGGCATTTCTCCCCCTGCTATCCCCCCCCAGCTCCCCACCCCCCACCGTCCCTCCCCTATGTCCCCCCAACTGACCCCAGTGTGTAGTGCTCCCCTCCCTTTGTCCATGTGCTCTCATCGTTCAACACCCGCCTATGAGTGAGAACATGCGGTGTTTGATCTTCTGCTCCTCTGTCAGTTTGCTGAGAATGATGGTTTCCAGGTTCATCCATGTCCCCACAAAGGACCCAAACTCATCGTTTTTGATGGCTGCATAATATTCCATGGTGTATATGTGCCACATTTTCCCTATCCAGTCTATCGTCGATGGGCATTTGGGTTGGTTCCAGGTCCTTGCTATTGTAAACAGTGCTGCAATGAACATTCGTGTACACGTGTCCTTATAGTAGAACGATTTGTAATCCTTTGGATATATACCCAGTAATGGGATTGCTGGGTCAAATGGAATTTCTATTTCTATGTCCTTGAGGAATCGCCACACTGTCTTCCACAATGGTTGAACTAATTTACACTCCCACCAACAGTGTAAAAGTGTTCCTACTTCTCCACATCCTCTCCAGCATCTGCTGTCTCCAGATTTTTTAATGTTTGCCATTCTTACCGGCGTGAGATGGTATCTCAATGTAGTTTTGATTTGCATTTCTCTTATGACCAGTGATGATGAGCATTTTTTCATATGTTTGTTGGCCTCACGTATGTCTTCTTTTGTAAAGTGTCTGTTCATATCCTTTGCCCACTTTTGAATGGGCTTGTTAGTTTTTTTCTTGTAAATCTGCTTTAGTTCTTTGTAAATTTTGGATATCAGCCCTTTGTCAGATGGGTAAACTGCAAAAATTTTTTCCCAATCTGTTGGTTGCCGATTCACTCTAATGATTGTTTCTTTTGCTGTGCAGAAGCTGTGGAGTTTGATTAGGTCCCATTTGTCTATTTTGGCTTTTGTTGTCAATGCTTTTGGTGTTTTGGTCATGAAGTCCTTGCCTACACCTACGTCCTGAATGGTTTTGCCTAGATTTTCTTCTAGGGTTTTTATGGTGTTAGGTCTTATGTTTAAGTCTTTAATCCATCTGGAGTTAATTTTAGTGTAAGGTGTCAGGAAGGGGTCCAGTTTCTGCTTTCTGCACATGGCTAGCCAGCTTTCCCAACACCATTTATTGAACAGGGAATCCTTTCCCCATTGCTTGTTTTTGTCTGGTTTGTCAAAGATCAGATGGTTGTAGATATGTTGTGTTGCCTCCGAGACCTCTGTTCTGTTCCATTGGTCTATATCTCTGTTTTGGTACCAGTACCATGCTGTTTTGATTACTGTAGCCTTACCTACAAGTATTTTATATAATATATACAATGTATATATGTGTGTGCCTATGTGTGTATATATCTATATTGAACTCGACTGACAATTGGAAACATACATATTTCAATATATATGGTAATATATTAAATGTATTAACTATATATCTGTTAATACAAATGGTTAATACATTTAATATATTACCATATATATGATTTTATATATATATATATATATATATATATATATATATATATATATTCCATTAACAATTGTGCTGTTCTACCTGATTAGGGTTTTTTATTCTTATCAATTCAATATTTTGACTTATTTTCTAACATTTAGCATTTACAAGTAGGTGTCAGAGAACCTGGTGCCTCTACATAAACAGAATGTTCTTTGAGCAAGCAGTCAACTTTGACTGGAGGATGCTGTCAAACTTCAACAATCAGTTGAGCAGCAGCTGAGCTTCTGTTGTTGCTGAACAATTCATCCACACCAAAGACCTCTAACGTGGCTCCTCTGTCATGCAAACTCTTTGCTAGTAAGGGACCATAACCACGTCTCTTAATGAAGACTATGCCCATGAATTTATGCTCACTAAATAAAGGATAATGTTGGGACCCTATTGAGAGTTGGCAAGGGTCTCAGTCATCTTTACCTCTTCAGTTCCTAGCACACATCCAGTCACACCAATGTTTGTGGAATGGATGAAGATAAAAAAAGAAGGCAGTGTTAACAGTGTCTTTAATATGCCATTATAATTCTTACCTCTTTTTCATCAATGTAATAATTTGAAATTTTTTCAGTTTCCTTAATTCTTCTCAATTCCAAATCCCCTTTATCTAAACCACTTGTAAATGTAGTTAGTCCTACTCCCAATCAAAATTATGAAATATCCATTCTCCTCTTCTTTGCCCCAAAACATAGCCCAAGTCGGACCATAATTCTCACCTGGAGTACTATGATAGCTGCCTTACTAGTCTCTCTGCTTCCACTTTTATCTGCATCCAATGTTCCATGCCACATCAAGAACAATTTTTAAAAATATGTCTTATTAGTTTCACTCACTTACTTAACATGCATCATTGAATACCCAATGTTCTTCCAATGAAATCCAATGCCCTTCCATGATCTAGAAAATTCTGCATCACCTAGGCCTTGTATATACCATAATATTAAAAACAAGAATAAAAAGAGTAGACCACTTCTCAGCTACTAGAAAATAGTTTTGAGAAAAAGAACCATAACTCCAGGAATATTTGTCAGATCAAGGAGAGAAAACCTAAATAAGGATACAGAGGATTCAAATAACTCCATAAGCTTGATTTACTACTATACAGAATTTTGTACCTAACAAATATTCGTTCTTTTCAAACATGATGGAATTGTCTTAAAATTTCATGATGTAGTATATCAAAAGGAACCATCATAAATTCCAAAAAGTAGAAATAATACAGGCCATGTTCACTAACCACTACAATAAAACCAGATATTATTAACAAACACCCTCCACACCCCCATCGTCCACCTACAACTTTAAAAACGTTCCTCTAGTTAATTAAAACTATATGGAAATCTATTCTGAAATTATGAAATTTTAAATGAAAGACAATTATTTTGCTATACAACTCAAACTTTAAGAGGCAGCCAAAGGGCATACAATAAAAATAATATAAGCTCAACTGTATTTTTCAAAAAAAAAAATCAAACCCAAGTTAACTTATTCTTCTAAAGGAGCTTATAAACAAGCCAAAAAGGAGTCAAAAGAAGGAATTTATAAAGACAGAAGCAGAAGTTAATAAATTTAAAATGTAACATTTCTAGAAATTGCAAAGTGATATTGAAATCTTTTCTAGTGCCCAGTGAAACAGAAAAATATCTAGCAACCCTAATTAAGAAGAAAATATAGAAAGAAAACATAATATGCAAAATTAGAGATAGAAGGCAAATATCATAGATACAGGTGAAATTGAATATCTAAGTAAATTAATGGTAGTTTAGAGAAGAAATAATTATCAAAATTGCCACAGAAGAGGCAGGGATAACCTGAAAAGACTAATTCTAACAAATAAAAGTATTAAAAAGTTGTCAAATTTGTATGATTCTAAAAGTTACCGTGTTTTTAACAGCTGTCATTATTGATACTCAGCAATAAACAAGAGGTATTGTTAGCAGTTAGCATTTACTAGTTGCCTGCTATTTGCCAAGCACTGTACATAGCACTTTGTTGGGTGACTACTACCTTACTTCATTTTCTAAACAAGGAGACAGAGACAGGCAAAGTTCACTTGCCAACTTTCACACAACTAATAAGTGGCAGACCTAGTATTGGAAGATAGGCTGTAAAGACACCACAAAGTTCATCTTCTTAACCTCTCTATTATGTGTAGGAATGATTTACTTTTGATAAGACATTGTTTTTAAGAATTAAAGAAGAAAAAATATGTGATCATTTCAATAAAAGTGGAAAAGACACGATAAAATGCAGTATCAATTCCTGAGTTAAAAAAAATACAGTCAACTTCCCTTACATGACCAAAAAACAAACATTTCTCAGAAGCCAACAACAAACACAATACTCAAGGGTGAAACAAGAGAGCAAAGTTTCTGAAGCAGGTATTAAGGGAAGAGATGGCCACAGGTATGTTTAGAAAAAATAAGTCTCCCCAGAGCAAATACATTTAAAAGCTAAACAAATTAAACAGATTTATTTATCACTGCAGATTTTCTCATAGGCTTTAACATGCTAATGTGTTTGTTCTGTGACTCTCCTGAAAGGGAATATAAGGTGCTATTTCTCAAGCTTCTTTGATTACTAAACCCTTTGTTCTCAACTCTGGAAACTAGTGTCCACAGCTGTAAATTGGGAAAGATTGCACTAAGGACATCTGGACTAAAATAACTAACAAAATAAAGATTCCCACTATGACAGCTATGATTTAGTGCTATTCTAGATTACTTGTCAGTGAAATAAAAGAGAAAAATATATATATATAAATATTGGAAGAAAAAAACATTTGTAAATGATTTAATTGCCTATATCAAGATCAATTAAAAACTAAAAAATGCAATAATTTAGAGTGTTAAATAAAAAATAAGTATGTATATAAATTAATATCTGCCCTCAATGAGCTCACAATTTGTCCAGAAAAACTCATGTGTTCTGAGTGAAGAAAATAAGGGGAAAAATCATTGAAAATGCATACATTATTTAATAATTCCCTAGTCTTATCTCAAGGGTAGCAATAATGATTGGAGGAAAAGTACATTTCCCTTGCTTCTGAATTTTGTATTTTCATAGAGAATTGTACTAATCCATATGCTACCAGATAATACAATTAAACACAACTCTGCCCATAGTTACCCATGTGAGTTTTGACAAGGTAGCTCTACTTGGTCAAAAAATTTTATAGAATCTCAGGATTGAAAAAAAAAATTGGGTCACCTAATATGTACCAAAAAGGCTTACAAATATGAACATTTATGTCCACATCAGAGATTTTATCATAAGAAAGAGATCAAAATATGCACAGTGGTGTTCATATCACATTTTAGAGTAAAACTAACATTGTTGGTATCTACAAAAGCCTATTCAAAGGAATTGTGATACATCTATCATAAGGGATACTAAGCTAATCTTAAAAATTATGTGACCACATCAGAAAGTGTTCACAATATGGTGACAGAGAAAAGTAGATTACAAAATAGCATGTACACTATGACCTCAGGTTTACAAACACACACACACTCAGGTCTCTAGTTACTCCCATGGCTGGTTACCTTGAGCAGGCAACAGCTTAAACAACCGTATATTGGTGCCCTGCATATTAAAATATTGCCAGTGCTTATCTCTTCTGGGTAAGATTTGGTAATTTGTATTTCCTTCAGGATTTCCATGTTTGCAAAATCTTCAAAATTCTCTGTAATTGGAGAACAAAAATTCAACAAATGATGTTTAACTTACCTATTTCAACTGCAAAGCCTATTTTTCAATCATCTTTAATAATACTCCTCCTAGCCTGTTTTTCCATTCCATTCTTAGAAGCCTCCTATGAAGTGGTTTTAGCATCTTTAGAAAGAGCTCCCAAATGTCAGAAAATAATGTCTTTACGCTTTGCTATAATCTGATTTTACTACAGCTTCCATCAAATGCTCATGAATAAGTTTATTCCTGTTATAAATAATAGTTCTTCAAAAGGTTTTAAGATAGTAAGCATATTCCTCTGGTTCTTCTTTTCTCCAGATTAAATATCCCCCAGTTCTTTACATTATTCCATTTTGTGGCACACATTTGTAACATTTTCCTGAGCATGTATAAAGATCTTACCACCTTTAGGTTAAGACATAGATGGATACAGTTCTAGCCACTGAATAGTTTGCAAACTAGAATAGGCATGATAAAAACAGTAGCTGATGCATCACTTTGTGATGCAGTGCTCTTGCTCATGCTTTAAAGATGAGTTTCTGAAAAACACTGATTTTGTCCATTTAAAATAGCAATGGTTTTCAAACAAAAAGCTCAAATTATCAATCTATTTTTGGAAGAGTCAAAGCCTGCCTGTCGATTTTCTAAACTGGGGTTAGGGTAAGTTTTAACCTGAAAGTTGTTCAAATAGCAAAATGTCATCTTCATTTTGTTCTGTTGTTCAAGAAATCATGTAATGATTCCATCCAGAGTAAGGAGTCAGAAAAAAAAAAAAACTGTTCCACCCATCTGTATATGGGTAGGGGAGAGAGAGAAAGAAAGAGGCCCATTGTTAGTAAGAAATGTCTCAGCCCCAAAGATTTATAAAGATTCCTAGTAACAGGATATCTTAACAAGAAAATTTCAATGAAAGCAAATAAAAGTATAGAAATCATCCATGCAGGCTTGTAAAACCTATTTAGCTATACAAATAGACCTGCCATACAAAAATAAGCAGACAAAACAAAAGTATGAAATTGAAATACAGGATTGAGAAAACTGTGGTAGCATTCAAATATGATGAAAGCTAAAAGACAAAACCACAGTCACATCTCTAGACAAAGGGTTGAGTAAGAGCCCATTGGAAGAGACATACATAGCAGCCCTCTTTCATGCTGACACCCTTGACTCTCCATTACTGAGACACTGGCACATAGGGAAGATGACTTCACAACGTAATGTCCTGAATTGTCCTCAGTTCCGTGTGATAATTTTTCAACTGGGAAGTTAAGAATACAGATATACAGCCATCTGTCCTAGACTGTATTTCTGCATTTATTCCCCATGTTCTGCGTCATCAACCTCTCCTCTATGCAATCATCCTCGCACATTGAGAAATGCCCTAAGATCTTTCTTCCTGGACCCCAAGTCAGGACCCCTCTAGCTACTATCTCATTTTCCTATTCCACTTCCTAAAAAACTTAGCAAAATAGCCCACATTACTCTGCCTCCACCTCTGCACTTTCCATTCCCTTTTTTAAACATTTTCATTAATTTTTAGCGACATTAATAATACGTATTCATTGTACCAATGAGAAGTGAACATAGTGTAAAGGTGTTTTGTGTAAGGAAACCAATGTTAATAACATGGTTTGTATTCATCCACATCCTCTTCCATGTACATGCAGATAAATATGCGCATATATGGGGGGTTTGTTGTTGTTTGTCCTTACGAAGTGAAGTTGTATGGTACAAATTATTTGCTACTCTCTCTATTGATCTGACAATCCATCATACAACCCACTCCAGGCCAGGTGTGGTGGCTTTTACTTGGAAACCCAGCACTTCAGGAGGCTAAGGCAGATGCATTGCTTTGAGCTCAGGGCAATATGGAAGAAACCTATCTTTACAAAAAAGCTCAATAGCTAACCAGGAGTTGGTGGTGCATGCCTGTAGTCCCAGCTACTTTGGAGGCTGAGGCTGGAGAGTCACTTGAGTCTAGGTAGCAGAGGTTGCAGTAAGCCAAGATTGTACCACTGCACTCCAGCCTGGGTGACAGAGCAAGATCCTGTCTCATAAAAAAAAAAAAAAAAAAAAAATCACTCCAATCTGGCTTCTATCCTATCATTCCAATAAAGCTGCTTGTTAACAATATATATATATATATCCATGTTACCAGCTAGCTTCATGCCGTCAAAGTAATCAAACTGTAACTTTGAGATTTCTTACCTTACTTTAGTTCCCAGCAGTATGATAGGTGACTATCTCTACTTTCTTAAAGCACAATCCTCACTTGGCTTCATGACATCTCAATTCCTGGCTTGCTTTCTATCTTACTGGGTGTCTCTACAATCTTTGTTCACTTCTGCTCCGCTGGCTTCTCCATTGACTCCACTGACGCCCGAAATCTTGGGAGTCCACCCAAGATTCTTTTTATTTTTCTATCTCTATAATCCAACTTGATATCAAATAGAAGTCTCAAATCTTTTATATTCAAAACAAAATAGATCTTCACTCCAACTACCCATTCACTCCATCAAACATTCAGGTGTATCATCAGGTAGATAGCTGGATATACAACTTTGGAGAACAGGGAAAAGTTCTAAATGGAGGGTTAAGTATATGAGTCATCAGTAATAGATGATATTTAATTAAAGCCATGACATTAACGAGATCACTTACGGAGAGATTATAGTCAGAGACTTCTACCAGCATTTTGAGGAAATCAAAACAAGGTGTAAGTTCAACTCAAAAACAGGTAGTGATATGGTTTCAATTTGTGTCCCTGCCCAAATCTCATATGGAATTGTGATCCCCAGTGTTGGAGGAGAAGCCTAGTGGGAGGTAATTGGATCAACGGGGTGGTTTCTAATGCTTTAGTACCATTCCCCTAGTGCTGTCGAGTAGTAAAGTTCTCCTGAGATCTGCTTGTTTAAAAGTGTGTAGCATCTGCCCCTCCTGCTGGCCGTGTGATGATGTTCCTACTTCCCCTTTGCCTTCTACCATGATTGTAAGTTTCCTGAGGCCTCCCAAGAAGCAGAAGCCTGTCCAGCCTACAGAACCATCAGCCAATTAAACCTCTTTTACTTAAAATTACCCAGTCTCAGGTATGTCTTTATAGCAGTGTGAGAACAGACTAATACAGGTATCATAGAAAGAGTTGAGTGTAAAGAAAATTCAGCCATGTCAGAGTTGAGAGAAGTTAGTTTAACTTTAACAAAACAATGCAAAGTACCCAAGAAGGTATTGTCCCTTTGTAGAAGCAGCAACCTAGAAGAATAGGCTGAACAACTTCTAAACACCAGAAATATAAAGAACTATAGCTCATGAAATAGGTTAAATAGCATGGGAGCTCAGAGAAAGGCCTCCTGAGAGACAGTCTCTAGGTTTCAATTCTGACTCTCCTATTTATTATGCAGTGTGACTTTAAGGAAGTTATTAAATCTCTTAATGCCTTATTTTTTTGGTTATAAATTAAAGCAATGTAAGTAGCAGGCTATTTGTCATAGATTAATTGTGGCACTTAAATAATCTACCTAAAGCACTTAGCACCCTGCAGATAGGCAGATTTAAACTAGGAAGTATTTTCAATTATTACTAACTTCCTGGAAAATTCATAATTGTATTATTCACATGTTTACTGAATGCACTGAATAGATTATACTTAACCTGAGCTGTCGCTGAGGAGATATTGGGAGAAAAAAATTGAAAAGAACCCTGTCCACAATTGGCAGGAAACAGACAGAAATAATAGGCAATCAATGTAATGTGGGCATAGAAAAGGGGATGCAGGGATGTGTATACATATGTATACCTGTCTACATATGTGTAGAGTTATATATAATTTCTATTAAAAAATACAAACTAGAAATTTTTGATCAAAAGCTGGACGAACTGACCTCTATTTACTGATGCAATGACTGAGCAGACAAATTGAATTGATCTACTGTTTTAGCATCATAACAAAGCATGCCAGTGTTTTATGTAATAGCCCTCACTCCAAAGCTATGTCTTGTTGCCCTGTTGGTTTGTCACTTGGATTCTTTCATTGTCCTGATCTTCATAGCAGAAGAAAAAATAAGTACTCAAGGGATGTTAAGAAATAAATTTATAGCAATGAGGAGCTGGTTGGACTCAAAGGGGAGGCAGTGGGAGGAAAGCAAAGAATGTCATGCAGCAGGAATGGGATGTTGAAAAGAGTCTGTAGGAGCCGGCCCCATCCTTCCTGTATAGTAAAATAGCAAATGCGAGATTTCTTCTTTATGCTTTCTTCTTCTCTGACCTCATCCTGAGTAGAAATCTGCAAATTAAAAATATCAACCGTGGAGTATAGGAAAATCAGTCCAAATAAGCAAAACATCTGACTTCTTTTTTTTTGCACATGTACCCCAGAACCTAAAGTGTAATAAAACATATATCTATATATAAAAAACAACAACAAATCAGAAACATCTGACTTTTTAAAAAAATTAAATACAGTTTTACTACCTTTAAGAATATAAAATAATGAAGCTATTTTACAGGCATCAGGAAGGAGATCTATATCTATGTAGATAAAATCACAATCTGCTTTTAAGATGCTCAAAATCTGGAGAAGGAAAGAACACAGGGCACTGCAGGTGTCTCCTAACTGAACTATTTTGATTTTGTCTTCCTGCCTTTCAATCCATCCGGGAGCCTGAGTGATCTTGTAAAAGCCACATCTATACAGACCCTCCTTTATTCAAAGGCTTCCCTTGCTATTAGAATAAAATGCAAACTGCTGGGCCCATTCGGCCCTCCATAATCTAGACCCTGTTGCTTTTTTAGCTTCATTTGTTATCACCTCACTATCCTCTTCTCCTTCCCCTCATCTTGGATCCTACACTCCTAGCCACTCTGAATGACATATATTTTTTTTGAAAGTTCCAGGCTTTGCTTGTGAATCTCCCTCTGGGTAGAATACTATTCCTCTATTCTACCTGATAAATATACCTCCATCTTGCAAGGTAGTTCAAAAAAATCACCTCTCCTATGAAACCTTTCCCTGGCAGAGATACACACCCACATAAGAATTCTCTTCTCATTCCCCACAGTATCCCAACACATTTCCACCATGGAGCCTTAAAACTGTGCACCACACTGAGATGTCTGTTGTCCTGTTTCTTGTTTCAGGACTGAGGCAGCAAGACTCAGCCAAATCCCTCAGAGAAATTGTCCTTGTCCAGAAAGAATCTCTTTTCCCCAGGGCAGCTCAAGTCCGCAGTACAAAGGACCCCTTGCTCCAAAGTGAGACTACACCCACTCTGCTATCCCAGCCCCAGAGCTCCCATGGGGACTTTGTGGTGACAGTTCAACTGCTTTCACTGCCCTGCACTCTTCCTTTCACTTCCCTACAGGGGCTGACCAGGGTACACTCCCCAACAAACTGCCTACAAGTCAAACTCCTTCTAGGAGTGTATTTCTCAGGAACTCTAACACAGACACTCTATTTTACACACTTTTTTTTTTACAGCTCATCTTCACACATAGACTGCATGAATGTATCCCTCAGTAAAGGTTGCCAATAAAAACTTGCCAAATAATGAATAAATAATAATATAAATCAGTATTAAGTTTGCTCTTGGTCAGGAGTGGCAGATACTCCATGTCTTCTCCCATATCAATCTCCCCATCCTTTAAACTCATAATACGTGTACATTTTAGTTGGGCCCATGGCCACTCAGAATGGAAACTACATGTCTCAGCTTCTCTTAAATCTTGCTGAGTCCATGAGACTAAGTCTTGGCCAGGAGCATATAAGCAAGAGTAATATGTGCAAATTTTGAGTCATGCCCTTATAACAGATATGTGCTCTCCTTCACCCCTGTTTTGTCCTTCCTAATGGCTGTAATGTGAAGGTAGTGATTATGGTTTGGTCTTCTTTGGCCTTGACAAAGCCAGCACTTAAAGATTGCATGCTCTGGGTCCTCAATACAGAGGAGCTGCTCTACCAACATTGAGCTCAGAATGTTAAGTGAAAAAGATACCAATTTTCATCGTGTTTAAGCCCCTATATCTTGGAGTCTCTATTACAGCATTCCGTAACCTAATGAATACCAAAAATTGAAAAAGCCTACTTTGCCTAAGTATCAACCTGCTAAATGCCAGTGTGTAAAATTTAACAAATATATCTATTAACCCAAATCCTTTTCCTTCACATTTCTATAAAGTTGTCAACAACTTAAAGTCCTCCAATAAGAGACTGAGAAACAAGGACTCTAAGCTCCTTAGACTTTTAGAACTCCCTGTTCTAGATAGAAATCCCCTCCTTTCTCCTTAGTTTCCCACTCTCAAGAACTCAGCTGAGGACATGATGTGATTGTCTCTCTTCTCCATCCTTTTTCAAGCAAAGGGTCTTCTGTATCTGCCGTGACTCGTTTTAGCTTCAGCAGCTTGGAGTTGAGGCAAACTCAATATTCCTTTAAATTCCATTTACAAAAACACTCACCACAGCCTTACGTGAATTGTTAAAAACTCCCAAAATTATTAAAATCATCCTATCCAATATAAATTGTTATAAATTGCATAAATACTTAAAAGAAAAGCAGGACTTAGCAAAGTATAAATTAGAAACCTGGTCATTTGATTGATCCTTTGGTGATGGATATTCTAAGAACTGACTTTAGGGACATGAACTGAGATTTCTCCTTATGAAATTGGTGGGCTTGCTCATTTCAGACTAATTCTCCTGCTGAGAACAAATAGAAAATATGACCATTTTGTGTTTTTAAAATCTACTTGAAGGTATCAAAGAGCACCAGTAATGGAAGCTCAAAAGAAGAGAAACACAGACAGGTTAGCATGACATTTGATACTGCTCCTCCTGAGGCATTTGCTTATTTATAATCTGTAGTTGAGAATCTGAATGGACAAAAATTGGAATTCAGGGCCCACCAAAAGGGAAGGATCCTGGAAAATAGTTAAAGCTTTCAGGTGGGTCTATGGAAGCATATACCTCAGAAGTAAAGGTAAAGTGGAACTGATCAGTCCATACCAAAACTGAAGATCAGCTGCTAATCATCTCAATCCTTGACTGAATTAAATAGATAGTCCCTACTCTAACTGCTTTCCAGACATGAAAGCAAATTCTCTCTGAAGACAGACAACATTATCCAGAGCCTCAAATTATTCCCATAATTCTTCATATACAATGATGTTATGACTGTGTTCCCACATAATTATATGTTAAATGTCTGACTCTCAGTACCTCAGAATATGACTGTATTTGAAGACAAGACCTTTAAAATGGTAATTAGGTCAAAATAAGGCCATTAGGGTAGACTCTAATCCAATATGGCTGGTGTCCTTTTTAGAAAAGGAGATTAAGGCATGCAGAGAAACATCAGGGATGCACACACAGAGGAAAGGCCATGGGAGGACACAGGAGGAAGGTAGCCATCTGCTGGGCAAGGAGAGAGGCCTCAGGAGAAATCAAACCTACTTGATCTTGAATGTCTAGCTTCCAGAACTGTGAGAAAATAAGTTTCTGTTGTTTAAGCACCCAGACTGTAGTATTTTGTTATAAAAACCCTAGAAAATTAGCATATGTTCCCTGAAATTAATGTCTACCAAGGCAGAAAAGAAAGAAACTGACCACCAACTAAAGGATAAGAACCAGCACAGAAAAAACCCTTGGGAGGTCTGAATGTTGAAGTTAGAAAACGTATCTTGAATTAGTTGTCATTATATGCCAAAAATTAAATTTAAAAAAATATATCATAAGAGAAGTGAAAAGAATTTTTTTAAAAAAAGACAATCTAGACATTTTTAAATACAATGATTAAAATTAAGGTGACTTTAATAGAACATGAGACACAGCTGCAGAGAAAATTTGTGGGCTGGAAGATTAATCAGAAAAAATATACAGACTGATGCAAAGGTGATAGTGCAGTAATCTAACATATACATAACTGGAGCTGCAGAAAAAGAAGAGGAAAAAAGAATTGGTAAGAAGTAGTAGTTGAAGAAACACTGGCTGTTAATTTTTCCCAAACTAATGAAAAACATCAGATCATAGAATTCAGAATCTGTACAAACCATAAGCAAGATAAGATTATGAAAAGCCACTTAGGCCCATACAATTGCTGGAAATCAAAATCAAAGAGAAAATCTTAAAAGCTTCCAGAGATTATTACTTCTCAACAAACAATGGTATCATATATGCAAAGTGTAAATAGAAAATAACTGCCAACCTAGAATTCTATACTCATCAAAAATATTCCTTGAAAATAAATGTAAAATAAAGATATTTTTAGAAGAGCAAAAACCATGAGAATTCATTACAAGCATACTGAAGAAATTCATTACCAGTACACTAAAGAATACATTACCCACAGTAAAGATATTTGAAAGAAAATTCTTTGAGCAGAAGGAAAATTATCCTAGCTGGAAGCTGTCTTATTTCTTAAGAAATTGAGAGCAATGGAAAGGGTGATTATGTGGGTAAATCTAAATGACCATTGGACATATTATTTACTCACATATTTACTCCAATAATAGTTTCTGATGGGTATAAAAAGCATTGAATTAAAATGCATGACAATAATAACACAAAATGAAGAAGGTAAGTAAATGGAATTAAAGTATTCTGACACCAAGAAAATAATATAAAGAATAATATTAGACTTTAAATCAAGGATGCATGTTGTAGAGTACCCACTAACAGTATAGCAAAACGGAAGATAACTAACAAGATAATTAAGAAAATCATAAAATAATTTTAATGCTTACTTAATCATAAAGGGATCAAAAGAGAGAGGAAGAAGGAACACAGGACAAAGAGGAACAAGAGTAAACAAATTAAACATTGATATATTTAACTCACATATACAATATTTATATGAAATGTACCAAATATTTTAAATAAAAGATTATAAAACCAGGCTTTAAAAAGTAAGACTATATGCTGCTACAGAAAACACACCTTGAGTAAAGATGTATAGCTAGTGTTTAAA